ACATACTGAAAGAAAAACAAACATGGCATGGAAAAGCACACATCACAGCCTAATTCTCCTTTGGCCAAATTTGTCCAGACAGACTCGTGTCTGGCAGTGCAGCGAAGCAGTAAATGATAAAGACATCAATCAGAACGAGGCCCAACCCCTAGTTAAAGGGAAAGGTGTTGAGAGAGGGAATGAAACCATGAGTCTCCAGCCACCATTTTGTATAGCGCTTTATTGATCCTCTCACCGATAAGGAATGCAGGGCCGGAAAAAAATGTCCCAGTTTCATTCATCACACACATGGAACACATCGTCTGGCCCTGCAGGGAGAAAGGCTGCTCAGAAATAGCCTGAACTCAAAAAGACAAGATACAAATGCAACACATGGATCCGAGTGCGGCCACTTCACGCCACCTTCATTATGCAAACGCATTTGTCATAACAGTGCAAAAAAACTTGCTCAGATATTGATGTTAGTGGGAGGGGTGAAGCAGGGGATTTTGGCGCAGAACGAAGAGACTGTAACCCAAACCGACCGTTTGAACGTGTCCTTCTCCAGTTCTCCTTCTCTTCATATCTGCCTGAATATAGAGATATCCCTGTCAAGTGCTCCAGGGTACAGCTGTCAATCACCATGTGACAGAAATGGGGGAAACTGGTGCATGAGTCAATTAATATTCAGAGTGGATCTACATTTAGTCCACAAGTGCAAGAGGAGGAGTAGGAGGGGCACTGGAGGAATGAAACAGGGATGAAGGGGGGACTTTGATGATGCCCTTAAACTTGAAATGTGGATGAACTCATAATGCAAATGATGCCATTAGTTATGCTTCAAATGTTATTGTGAACTCACAGACTTGAATTACCTCCTATATCAACATACAAATGACTTAATTAGCTGGAAACGGCATATAAATTGGTTACAAATGCCAAGCAACACACACAAATGAAATATCAACCGTCTTTTACACTCCTGGCCTACAGTAATTAGGCTATATTACATTCTCACTATTCAACATGTAATCGCCTACTCAATTCAAAATGTGATTTCATTCATAACCAAAATAAACCCACAGCTTTACACTCTCACTCAATCTTACTTTTACGCACCTCTGAAAAAATAAAGGAGGAAATTATAAAATATATTTATAAAATAAAATAAATAAATAAATAAAATAATCCGAATCACGCTGACCAGAAAGAAATACTCACCAGAGTTTGCTGGTACTGAAGCACGCGCTGAGGGGCTCGGTCTGGCGCCATAACCGTGAATACAGCGGGAATTAAATATTTAAACGCTATACGATGTTCCCAAAAGCCACAAGATCACCTCCGCAAAACCGGGACGCAATTCAACAAGCAGCATGAACTGAGTAACAGGTCCTTCACCGTAGAAAACAGCCCAGCAGCCCATCCAGCTGTCGAATGAACACTTCCCTCTTCCCGAGCGCGCACTGCAATAAATGCCATAACGCGCTAAAAAAAACGCTTTGTGTGGGAAGACAGGGGTTACTACACTTCATACCTGTTGACCCGATTGTCAAAAATCAATAGATATATTTTCTACCGCTGTGAGTAATCGCTATTTTGCACTACTGTGCACTCAAGCACTTAACGCGTAGATTACGCATACCAGGCTGTTTTATGACTAAGTTTTAATGACCCGAGGCAGGAACAGATATGTTTTCATTTTGTCATACAAGGATTTGTTATTTACAATGAGAGAAAACTTTGGAAACTCAAAATCGATACTCATAGAGCTGAATTATTTTCAGTTTAAATTGGGATGCACCTGTTACCCTTCTAAATGAACTGATTTGTATCGACACAGAACATCACTTTCAAAACCTGTGGAGAGCCAGCTGGCAGTTCATTACACCGCTCATTAATATTACTTATGCTTACTGTAAATACTACTAAATATAGATGCAAGCTTGAAATACATAGGATGCATTTTAAACTCGGTCCACGAGCACCAACAGCTCAAAGGCTTCATGGGATGAAAGACAGTATTCCTTGGAGAGAGAGAAAGAAACCAATAGGTTGTTAAGCAGATTTCCTTACAGAGACAGAGACTGGTATGCTGCTTTTGGGCTCAGTAACAGGTCTACTGCCAGCTCAGGGAACAGCAGGGGCACAGGCTGGGATGAAATATGAATGTAGCACTGTGGATTCTGTCAGTTTTCTTGCAACACTGCAGTGTTTTTGTGTATACATGTTCAAGCTCTCTCTCTCTCCTCTATGCATGCTCATGCATTCAGACTTAAAGAGTTAGTTCACCCAAAAATGAAAATTAGCCCATAAATTACTCACCCTCAAGTCATCCTAGGTGTATATGACTTTCTTCTTTCAGACGAATCCAGTCGGAGTTATATTAAAAATTGTCTTTGATCTTTCAAGATGTTTAATGCCACTCAGAGGGACCCGCTGAGTAGCATTAAACAGCTTGAAAGATCAAAGACAATTTTTACTGGACTGGATTCGTCTGAAAGAAGAAAGTCATATACACCTAGGATGACTTGAGGGTGAGTAATTTATGGGCTAATTTTCATTTTTGGGTGAACTAACCCTTTAACTCAAAACCCCTGTCTTTGCTTATAAATACTGATAGAAACAACATGTCTTTGTGTTTGTATAGCTGTCATCAAACAGATCATTGCAAAGTACACTGTCATATCTGGTAATCTACCTCTATCCAGTTGTTTAAACCACAACTTCTTCAAAATATTGTCTTTTGTGTTCCACAGAAGGAAATGAATTTTCATTTTGGATGAACATAATATTATTTTAAGATTAGTAGTAAATAAACCAATCTTATTTCTGTGCGTCTTTATACACCTGGCTGCACTGTGCAAACCATCTTCACTTAACTGTTTGTGCACAAAGGCTACACTCGTCGCATGGTATGGACAGGTGAGCATCCATACCCGTTGCACATTCCTTTGAATTGGGTGTTCCAATGCCTTCAGCACTAACACACTGACCCAATTCGATGCATCTTCCACAAAACTTTCTGTAATGGTCTTTTAATGAATTGTGGAAGCCCAAAGAGTCCAAAAGAACATATTGTTCATTGACTAAATGTGGGTCTGGGTGAGAAAATGTGACGTCGATCCGTAGTGGGGGTGTGAAACAAGGGTTGATATTAGATTACATACAAGTACATTACCATCCCAGACAGGGAATAAGACCCAGTGTAGGGCTGCACAATTAATCGAATTTCTACTCGCGATTACAATTACGGATGTCACAATTACATAATCGTTCAAAGCAGCAATTATTTTTTTATTTAAAGAAGAAACCAATCCAATGTATAGTTGACATTTGAGGCTTAATACTATAGAAAAGCAATACAAGTTTTTCAGTTAGTGTTTTCAGCTTGTTTATTTTCATATAAAAATATGGCATGCAGTTGCTTCAAACAAAGGTGTAAACATCATTCATTTAATCGTAATTAATAATCGCAATTACAATTTCAGAGGAATAATCGACAATTAAGATTTTTGTCATAATCGTGCAGCCCTAACCCAGTGCGCATTGAACTCAATAGCATGTGGCTCTCTTTTGCTCAATACTAGCCTACAACAAAATGGGTTTTGGCTCATTTTAAATTCTATGAGTGTAAATACGTTCAGTAGTGCAGTAAACATTAACTAGATAACAAAAAAAAATATTTTAATTTTAATTAACATTGGATTGGTTTCTTCTTTAAATAAAAAGGTAAAAATATGCATGGTATTATAATGTTATACTAAAACTAAAATTAAAACAATGGAAAAACCCTTAAGATAACATGTAGAAAGAAAAAAAGCATCTTAAGCATGCAGAATAGCGTACAGTGTATGATTGTGTATGTGACTAATAAAATTGAACTTGAACTTGAACTTAAACATAAGTGGACTTTGAAGATTAATTGCTGCTTTGAACGATTATGTAACTGTGGCATCCGTAATTGTAATCGCGAGTAGAAATTCGATTATTTTTTTGCTATTTAATGTTTATTGCACTACATTAGTGTCATGTGAGTTACCCTGATGGTGTTTTGTGTTTGTGTGGGCAACACTTTGCTCTGTCTTCAAGTTATTATTAGTCACTGTTGCTGGAGAGGCCAATGCTGCTGAACTTTAAGTCATCGTGTGGCCTTCCAGTGTACCATTTGTATCATATCATATCATATCACACTTTAAAACAAACAGATTATACCTCAGATAGGTTATTATAACACATTAAATAATTAAATGACATATATTTAGGAACTGTGAAATCTGGTCACCAAAATGCCATCCTGTAATACTTGTAATATCTTCAGTGTATTTTTTTTGGTAAAGTTCTAGCAAATACAGCTGACATTTTTACCATAAATTTACAGAGTAGTGTGCATAATTTTTTTTTTTATCAAACTTGAATTGATAGCAATTTATCAACTCCACATGATACCAAATCAATCAATCAAGTTAAGGAGATAACGTTTCTCTCCAAGTTATGAGATTTTTTTCTCTTCCGAATGTGAAGTGAACTCTTCCATTTCCAATTTCAACATAATTTGTCCCTTAAGTGAATGCAGAGGTGGAGATATCGATTTCGGTTTTGAATTATGTAGATGCAAATTTTTCTTTGCGTTTTAGATTCCTCTAGCACTAAGAAAGGACCTTGAAGGGACATTGGATGTAGACAGATAAACGACTGAATCCACAGGGTTTCTTGAGAGCGATAGGACATCATCTTACACTGAGTCGGTCTGACAAAATTGTGCCTATTTGTCCTTATTAGAGGATCTAGACAAGAGAATCTGGCGTATGTTCAACTCCCTGCACGAATAACACTGTGCCCTTGAGCCCCACAAGATAACCCAGTCGATTCGGAATAAGGATGACACGCAAAAGCTTCAAAAAAGGCGAACGGATTGTTCTGATGGCAGTTGAGTGACTTCTAAAGCGCTTTAACGCGCAGTTTATCGGCAGCAACATTGGACACCTTAACAGGTTGCTATTTCGTCTTTGACGGCTACTTACATTTTTCCGCGCCGGCTTTTAGTCTTGGTAAGAGCTCCTCTTGAACGCAACAGTCCAAACGTCACCTACGCCGCTCCATTTAATGACGCAAAACATGTAAGAAATCCCCACACAATTAGAGCAACGCAATCAAAATCGAGTAATGACGTCAGTGCTGTTCGGTCCCAATTGATCGTCTATACGATCGATATACTTTCTGTATAATTGTCCTCGCTGGTGAATTGGCAGTGCCCTGTTGCTGATGCCTCTCGCTCGTCTTTGAATTCGCGTCAGACTGGAGGCTAAACTTCAAAAAAAAAAATACAAAAATATTGTCCAATCGCTTCCCTTAAAACATACTTGTCGGTGGTAATGCATCACCTAAACGGTTCGGATTAGGGTGCACTGCACGCGCTGATAGGTAAAGGAGTAATTAAGCCGGCAGATCATGAGGCACGTGCACTGACCAGGAATTGATTCTGTGATGCAATGCGGGTTCCGTCACTGGTTTAGTTATTGCGGGTTGACTCCACTTCTGTTCCTATTGCCCGTCATTAATACCATGTGATGGCGCATTTGTCTTCATCAGTGCATTGCATCTATCTGTCTGTCTGTCTTTCTATCTATCTAGATGATCTACCATGGGACCTGTTCCCCGTCTATGTGTGGTGTTGTAATCATTACTGATGGGGTTCAGGGCTTGTCGTGATCACAACGACTCCAAGGCTTGTAAGGCAAGGCTTTTTGCACTATCCTGATTTTTCACAGCTGTGACTTGTGGGCTGCTGCAGGGTGACTGAGCGGAAGATTGTTTTTGCACTGTGAAAGAGAGAGGGTGGTGAGAGCCTCTAATTTCAGTGTGCACTATGTTCAGAGCAAACGCTCTCTTGTATTTAAACATATCACCACTCTGGCTGCAGTGTTCACATTTGCAGCAAATAAACAGTGAATGCACTATGATCTCCTCATGTTTACAACAATTCACCAAATCCAGAGACAACAGGTGTTTTGCTAAGATATGCCTGCTATATTTCTACCGCTGTCTGTGCATGCATTTGAACATTATAGCCTTATAAGGTGACAGGTGTTGTGCTAAGACTGAAAAATGTGAAATGAAATTACTGCCAAAGCTCGTCTTTAGTGGTGTGTGTGTGTGTGTGGGTGTGTGTGTGTTTAATCTGGCAAAGAGATATGTTGGAGCTGAATAAAACAAATATTTATGATAACTCGCAATGGGACAGAGACACCAGAAGGCTGGTCATGAAAGTAGGCCATCTGAGCACACTCATTCAGCTCTGCTGATTCATACACATGCCTGCTTTCTTTGAGCCATTGAACACTTAAAAACACAGATCCCTTTAAACATGTTTGTATCATTGTTACCAATATAGGTAGACTGATAACATCTTTTGTTGCCATCAATCTATCTTGTTACACACTTGATCATATTACGTTTTTATGTTATTCTGTGATATTAGTAAGTACATTCAGTATTGTAGTAATACAGCTTGTGACTTTGGTACCACTTTGATTTTACTTACAAAAAGGCACAATTAAACTTACATTTTAAAGGGGTCATATGATGCGATTTCATTTTTTCCTTTCTCTTTAGAGTGTTACAAGCTCTTGGTGCATAAAGAAGATCTGTAAAGTTGCAAAGACTAAAGTCTCAAATCCAAAGAGATATTCTTTATAAAAGTTAAGAGTTAGCCACACCTACCTAAAACGGCTCGTGGTTGAAATTTTCAAATGGCATAGTGTAAATGTACATACTACAGGAAATATAATACTGTACTTTCTTGCCTTTTGCACAGAGATTTTTATGCATATAAATTCAATAAAACAGCAAATATTTAATAGAACAACCAATGATGTATCAATAAAAATATAAAGAGTAAAATATGAAGTGTGAATAAGTATAGAGGTATAAATTAATGAAGGAATACATACAAAGCATGTCCTACTGCAATCCACTGAAAGCAGAAGACTGATCACGTAATAAAATATTAACCTGAACTAAAATATGTGGGCTCATTTTGTTTGTGCAGCCTACCTCTTTCCAAAAGTCTTATTACAGGTTTATTTATTTAGAATTGCATCAGTATCCGCTACAACCTCAGGGTTACCCTCATTTTTATTTTGGCTTTGGTGTGCAGTGACTCACTGCAGGGACTTTGGGGCATGTTCAGAGACGAGATAACAAACGTCCCAGCCGGGAAAGGAAGATTCAGAAAGTGTGGGGGCGATGCACTTGATGAATGTAGTGAATGTGGTGGGTGAGTGCACATCTCGGCGGGCGTTTTCGCGTTACTTCTTCAAAAAAGACGCTCTCCAATGGAAAGCAACGCAAATGAAGATCTCATGTTGTCACAGGGCATGGATTTAAGTAAGTACGCATGAATGATGGCCTCCTTTTACAGAACTGGTCGTGGAGATATGTGTTAGCGGCTTTTAAAACTCTCTCTCTCTCTAAAAAATAAGTTTGCGCAGTTATTTTGAAAATGCTTCTAAATTCGAGTTTGGGATCAGGTCATTAATATGAACTAAAAGAAGATCAAATATTTGATAGATTATTTGTAGATTATCTTAAAAACAAATGTAGCTACACACGACTCTAGTTCTGTTACCTCAGCTCTATCCTATCTTAGCTCATCTCTGTTTTCGTTTTGGAATTGGAGACTTCTAGCCATCTGTTAAAAGTTTTATTCTGCCTATATACTGTATATACAAATATATATACATAATATTAAAGTAAATACATTTTATTACACGTTAACCGTTTTGACTCGCAAGAGGGCAAGTTGTTGCAATGTGATACTAAATACATGAATGTAACGCCGGTATATTGCCATGGGCAACGGTTACAATCCAACTTATTAGAGCGGGCACGGCCTGGTTGATATTGCAGACTGGTGTTTCTTATCATAATATTTTAATGTATTGTCATAATTATAAAAATGGATTGTCGCAATAGTTTTTACCATTTACTGCACTTGTTATTCTACTAGTTGTTTACCTATAGTGGCTAATGAATCTGAAGTCTCCTACATTCACAGAAAATAGCTTAGGCCTACTTGCAAAATAAGGTGGATAGAGTGCAACATTTGGGTTCCAGAAGTAAAAATCCCATACATTTTCTCCATTGGGCGATTGCTTTTTAACGATAGTTTGTAAACCTTTACCGACAGACCTGCAAGCTACAAGTTTGTAAAAAAAAGAAAAAGAAAAAGAAAATGGCATATGCTTTTGTTTAAGCTGTCAAGCCACATTATTTCAAATTATTTTTTGAAATAATTGTGTTTAACAGCAGAATTTCTGGTGGAAAATTACATTACCCATGATTTTGCAGAGAAATGACAAGCAAACTGCACCAAAAGAACCTCCCACTTCAAGGAAGCACTGCAAATGATGTAGAGTAACAATTAATTTGGTACAGCATACCAGCATACTTCCCTTACTATTTCTGACATGGAAATACATGGTAGAAGTAGGAAGAGTAATACGCTAGCATGTGGTTCATAGTAGCCTATGCTAGCAACCGTTTTTTTCCGATCTCAAACTACTTAAATATTTGTATGCATAATATGCAGATTTAGCAATAAGCGTAAAATATATCGTTTCTATATAGGCTATATAATCAGCATCTTTATCAGTTAGTTTTATGTTTATCCATTGTTTTAAACTGGTGTCGTAATGCTTAATGTGATTGTAGTTCTTTCCTTCATTAAAGCCCTCATTAAAGTACACATACCTTTGTCTTTTTGTCCACTTTTTAACTTTGCAATCTTGTGATTCGCCTCGTAGCTGGTTGCTTTGGTTCATGGCTTACAGCTATTTAATGAAGACTTATTTAAAAATGCATTTAGGAAAGATGAAGGGGAAAAATACTGACTTGGAACCAAGTCGGTTGAAAAAGTGGGCAGGCACTGTTGCACTCTATTATAGAAAAATATTTGACCACTAAGTGCTGCAACCAATCAGAATCAAGTATTCCAAAGAGCCGTTTCATGTAACTATTGATTTATGAATTTTATAATGTAATAATGTATTTTATTGTAAAGTGTTACTGAATATTGCACATTTGTGACTTAAAGGCACAATATGTATTTTTTTGCCACTATAGGGCGCATATTCAAAACAAACAAAAAAACAAAGGAGTAGCTGTAGTAGTTAGATGAAGCCGTGACTGAGTGTGGAATCATGGGAGTTCATCCCAACAGCCGATGCAATCCGATGGGACTCCGGCAGAAATCATGTTCATGGATGAGCTAATGTATTAAAGATTTATTAACGTAGTAGAATGAAGCAGGGTGAGGCTGGAAGCAAGATGAGGCTGAAAGCCGTCGAAGCAAAACAAGGCGCTGAACGAGCGCGACACACGGCTCGAAAGCAGCGGAGCTTTTATTATGCCACAGTCGCTTCCGCTCCTTCCGGAAAGCAGCGGAAGTAAGCTGCGCTGTTTTATCATACTAGATGCATTTGAAAGTTCTGTTATAATGCTTCTCTGTGCGGTCGTCTCCTGTCTAATAAAACGCACAACATATTAAAGCGTCTTTGGTGTTTCCATGTTTTCCACAAAACAAAACCGGAAATCGAGGGGGTATGACGTCATTTGGCAGGCAACAGAATGACACTATGGACACGGTCCGTGTCACTAGTTAAAATTGCTTATTTCTCTGGATTTAAACATTCTTCGAAACATTTGGGATAATGTAAGTAAACAAAAAAGGCAAAATATATAAAACTGTTCTAGTGGTTTTTGGATATTTTAATAAAAAAATCTTACATATTGTGCCTTTAATGGATCTACCACTGTAATTCATTACTGTACTTCCCAGAGTTACATAATACAGACACACATTTTCTCATTGGACTGGTTGTCTTATAGGAATGCTGGTAGTAGTGTTCAGCATGGTTGCCTCTGAACTCTCTCACGTTCACACTAGACCAATCGACTTTGTGTGTGACAGCGAGGCCAGAAGAATGATGAACAAGGTCAAGGACTTACAAGTGGAAATGGTAAGACTGTGAAATCTACTTCAGATGTAAATAGTTCTTTTACTTCTAGGTTTTTCCTGTTTCTTTTAAGACCCATTCACACCAAGAATGACAACTTTTCTCGTTGCTGTTATTGTTATAGTTATTGTCCTTGGTGTGAATGGGCCTTTGGGGTGTTTATCTGTGGCCCAATGGTTAAATTCTTACCTTACACCATAGTAACTCATAAGAGATCATGTTACAAGGACAGCTGAGCCATTTCATTTCAAGCCAAGATTTGAGACGATATTCATCTCTGACTTGGACTGGTGTTTCAATCCAAATGAGCTTATATTTTGTGCTTAAATCATATCCAGATAACCTTCAATTGAATTAGGCTATAAAAGTCTTCCAATCCATTGAATACTTTTTCAAGTCACCACCATATATTAACACCATATATAACTGCAGGAATTAATACCAAGTTACCATTTTAGCGTTAATAGCTCAGCCTCATTAGATGTTTGAATGCGACACTTCACTTGACAGATATCTGTCAGTCTACCTATTTGCATGTTAATTGTCTTGCTTGATTCTCTGTCATCCTCTGTCTTGGTGTCATCCACTATCTCAC